CGGGACCCTGACTTTCTTTCACGGGACCCTGACTTACTTTCTTGGGATCCTGAGAAAGTTTCTCGGGATCCTGAGAAAGTTTCTCGGGACCCTGACTTTCTTTCACGGGACCCTGACTTACTTTCTTGGGATCCTGAGAAAGTTTCTCGGGATCCTGAGAAAGTTTCTCAGGATCCTGAGAAACTGAACTGACCCTGACTTACTTTCTCGGGATCCTGAGAAAGAAAGTCAGGAAACATTTTTTTCCTCCCATGTCCCCTCGCGGGCTCCGTATGAATCCAATAGCAGTTCTTCTAAAATCTTTGTGTTTAGAAATAATTGAAATGTTGACACCTGGAGGTGACAAAAAGAAATAGTCATGTGAAAAAACAGGGCGTCCTAATTTTTTCATGACTGTAGGTTAGAGACCTGAGTGAAGTTGCCCCCCCCCCCCCCACTTTGTTCAAATCTAACAAAATTGGTGTCAAACGTTTGTACTACATTTGTGCTAGTTTGTGCAACAAAATTATTTGTTTGTGTTGCTTTCGTTTTTAAGATATTAATAAAAGTTTCTAGATGTCATCAGAGATCAACCAGCCCCCCACCCCCCATTACCCAAATCAAACAAAACTGGTGCCAATGAATTGGGCGGATCTTTACAGGTAGAGTTTGTTTCCTTCCTAAACTTTATTTAGGTCAGCCAGCATTGACGACGCTCTGCGGGTGATGTAAACGGCTCCGCGACACAACAAATCGATAATGAACTTCCTTACCAACGCTTTTAATTATCGATTTTTATTGATTTTATCGATTCATTGTTGCAGCCCTCCTGTTTATGTAATCTAATGTAGATTTACATCTAATGAACCCATCACACGCTAATATTACTAATGGGTTATAATGAAATTTTAAAAAGCTGATCTTAAACAAGAAAACAAATGAAGCTCTAAAAGCTGCTGAGGGAAGAGTGAAATATCAAAGTTCCTGCAGTGTGAAAAGCAGGATTTTAAGAAGTGAAAGGGTTTCTGCAGTTTGAAGTGACTCTTGTGAAACTAGCCTTTCATTCAGACCACATCTGACTCATTCAGAAATCAAAACTTAAAACAGAAAAGATACCTTCTGCAGGTGAGGGCAAGGCGGGGGTACCCGGCTGGGAGTAGCACAGGAACATCTGCTGGTCCAGACTTCGGAGAGCATGGTAGGTGGGGTGGGTGTGCTGCTGGACGAAGATGTGTCCAGCTGACACAATGTTAACCACGATCACTTCCACCGTAACTCCACTGGGAAGCAGGAGCTGAAGAAGACATGGCCACATGACCAAGCTTTAAACTAGGGCTGTGCAATTCATCAGATTTGTAGTTTGAATTTCCGTTTGTGCTTTAAACAGTCACAAAACAAACAAATAATATAATTAAACATAAATAAATAAGAAACATTGTGACATTTTCTGCTCTGTGAGCCAGCTTTCTTCTTGCTTCACCTCCTGCAGCACCTTTCCTTCTTTGTGTCAGAAGGGCAGAGTGAAACAGAAAACATTTTACAGGTACAGGGCACATACAGAAATTATTGAGTTAAATAGAATACTTTTTAATACTGTTTTAATACCAACATGACTTCAAGCTGCAACTGTAGGGATAACCTCTTGAGCCATTTACTGGACCTGGGGCCTCATGTACAAAGACTTGGTGGATTTCTTACTGAAACCTGACGTACGGTCAAAGCCAGAAAACGCAGTACGCACAAAATAAATCCAGATGTATCAAACCGTGCCTGAATCCACACACATTTCTTTTATACATCACAAACAACGTGGAACTGAGCGCACTTGAGACACCACCCCTGACACGCCTTCATTAACATATGTTAAACAGATGCTAATTACTTCCTGCATGCGTGAAGGACAGGTTTGTTTGATCCCCGTGATCAGAAATGATTTCTAAAGTCATAAAAATAACAATTTTAATATAATGTGAGTGAGAAAAAAAATCCTAAGTAAGAATAGGAATAAAATATGTTTGTCATGCAAAGAACGAGTGTGAGTGTGTGAGTGTGTGTGTGTGTGTGTGTGAAGCTGCAGTGTTGCACAACAGGTGCTTCCATCTACTTTGAGCCTGGAAATATAAACTTTGCGCACGAGTTTATTACCATAATTACTGTAAACACAGAGGAACTCAAATGTTTGGTAGAACATAGATCGTGCACCCTTTCTACGGTGCTATCAGCAACAAGTCATCTGCATGACGACTTGTGACCCAAAAACCCTGATGTCACACACCCATCCTCTAAATCAGTGGTTCACAACCTTTTTAGACTTGTGTACCCCCGAGCCCTTTTGTCATATCACTAGTACCCCCTCTGTCAAACGTAATGATGATTCTCCAAAACTATACAACAACTGATTATTAAATAAAAATTATTTTTAAACTCCCTGGAACATATAATTCTCAGGCATTTTATTCTTTACAACTCACATTAAACAAAGATAAAACCGTAGCCTTGAAAGTGAATAAGTAAATAAATAAATAAACCAGGTAATGGAAGGTGCAGGAAACAGCAGCGTCCAAAATACATCAGAAACTCGACCAAATAAGCAAATTCTGTGAGATTCTAATTTTTTTTTCAAATTTATGTCAGTTCCGTGATTCTGTCTTCATTTTCTGCATTGCAGAAATCATAGAGCCCTACATATCCCAGTTCTATTTTTTTTAATTTTTTACACAACTGGGACATTTTCCCACGTACCCCCTGGAATATGCTTGTGTACCCCTGGTTGGGAATCACTGATAAAAATAATGAATTTGTATGTCCATCTGTTTTTTTAAACTTGCATTAAAACCTTTGTCAAACATGTGAACAAATGGTCCAACTCTGGGTCATCACCCCAACATTGGGCTGTGGGGTATATGCAGTAGACGGTAGAAACGGTATTAAGTTGGCCTATGGTAGAAATTTATACTCTACCATCCTATCGTCATTACATCATCGCACCTGTGTGAACAGGGCTGTGAATGCAGAGACAACTGAGCAGGAGTTCGAAATATAATGAAGAAATTGTAGGGTTTTAAAACACGTATTGAGAGGAAAAATCCTCAAAATTTCCCCCTCCCGCTACAGAAAAGTTACGTCGTGTCGCGGAATCATTTCCTCCCTCCTCTCGCTGCACGTCGCGCAGAGCGAAGCTTTAACAACCGTAGTTTTTCACACCCAAATGTCGGAGAAAAAGTTTATGTAGTGTTACTCACAGAGATTAAAAAAAAAGAAAAGATGCGGACATTCGTTCAGTCATAAATCCATCTTGCTAATGTAAATTCGGCTTCTGCTCTGATGATGAAGATGAGCGCGCAGCAGAGCAGCAGCTGAGAAGTTCAGCAGGTAGAAAGCTCATTGTTTGGCAGGCAGATATTAAAGCAAAAATGTTGGGTTTAATTAAGATTACAGTTTTCTGCAAAAAAAGGTCTAAAAATTACATTATCTTTACTTTTTACGATAATTTTCTACCGCGATATATACTGTTACAGTGAAGGGGTTCAATTTATACCGTGATATGAATTTGAGGTCATACCGCCCAGCTCTACCCCAACACTACTCAGTTTTACCCTCACAATCACCATCTTCTGTCTGCACATATATTGATAATAGCAGCAAATTACTATAAGAGAACAACTGCAAAGGCAGATTTCTATCAATCATGCACATTAAGAAGTTATTTTGTACTGAGCAGAGGTACCTGTGATTTATTTTTCAATTATCGCCTTTTGAATTTAACAACCCAACTGCAAAATCAATGTATAAATGTGTGAAAGACAACATTCGAACAAAACCTTGTGATCAAGTCTGGCTTTTAGCACTTGAGACAGCTGGCTGTGGTCAAGCCATTTCTTTCGCAGCATTGTTTTGATCCATGATTTTATCACAACTTTAGACTGCTGCAACACACTTTATATTGGGCTGAGCCGGTCGTTAGTCACTCGACTTCAGCTGTGATTCTTATTTCTTCTATAACAAAGCAACGTTCTGAAAACAGTGTGCGTGTTGACCTTTGACCTGTAAACCAAGCTCATTCTTACCCAGGAAGTTATGGGAAGTGACGGCAGAGTGAGTGGGGGTGGTGGTGGGGCGTACAGGTTGGTCAAGTCCAGGTCTTTAAACTTCTTTCCAATAAGTGACAGAGCTTTGTCCACCTGCTGCTGCACTCCTGCACAGAGGGTCAAACACACAAATACAATAAAGATAATATTAGTTTCACTTGTAATGATGAGAAATAGTTTAAAAAACCCTTAAAACGCATGAAATGCCACTTTACAGACTCACCCTCAATATGACAGATCTGGAACTCCTGTGTGTAAGGCAAAGTGGAGATGTAGATCTTTGCACCAGAGCTCTGCTTCAGGAAACTCACATACCTGCCCTGTCTCCCAATCAGACGTCCAACAAGATGCTGTAAAGTAAGTCCATATATTCAGCACAGCCTCATTCAGATATAGCAGGTAATTACATTACTCATTAGGAAAAACTTTGTTGTGCGGTTAAAGTATAAAATATTTATAAATATTTAACCTGCTAGGAGGATAGAGTCTTGTCTCGGTCTGTCAGACTGGTTACTCACAAGTGCTGAAAATCAAAACTATCGGTGAACACCTGGGGTGTTAACAGATCCACATTAAGGGCCAATAATAAGCTAGTTTGTTATCGACAGAGAATGTTTGAGCATTGACGTTATAAAAACCTTTATGTGGATCATTAGCAGCTTATTAATACCTCCGTAGGAAACATGTCAACAACAAAATTCTGGAAACAGCTAAATGCTAATAGGTTAGCACCATTTTCCTTAATTAAAATAAAAATTACTAGGGATATCAAGGCTTTCCTTATTGATGCAATACATGCAAAACGCCTAATATTTTTATGTGAAAAATATCTACTGAAGAACATGGAAAAAAATAGGTTTGTATAAGGCTAAGAGTGAATCATCATAATTTCTTATAACTACAAATACAGGCAGAATTCTTCTGGTTTTCTCTGCAATACTGATTTCTATTAGATTAGAACATTTTCACTTTGATAATGTGAATGTTCAAAGATGTTTTGTTAAATAAAGCCAAATATTTGGCCACTCATGGGGCACTAAAAATATGACGATCTTTAATCTTGGTAAAACAATATATTTGACAACTAGACTTCTACTGTGGAGCTGAAGACGTTTTGTTTCTAATCTGGGGAGCTTTATCAAATCAAAACCACAGAGTATGAAGTGTATAGTTTAGAATTTATAAAGCTTCCCAAAATGGAAAACAAACAGTAAATATACTGTACATATACAGTACCTTTCTATGCAACCCAACTACTCAAAGAATTTACATCACAATCAGAGCCTAATCACACAATCTGTACTACAGCTCTACAGTGTTAATCTGAATAAATCATTCTGTAGAGTCTAATCAGAGACGGTGTTTCCCCTACCATTATACAGGCGGGGCTGAATTATCTAAAATAATAGCTTCATCCAAACCATCAACATGTCTGCTAGATCCCATCCCAACCAGACTGTTCAAAGAAGCATTTCCCTTAATTAATATTTATATTTTAGATGCACTTAATTTATCTTTAATAAATGGTTATGTGTCGCAGAGCTTTAAGGTTGCTGTAATTAAACTTTTACTTAAGAAACCTGATCTTGATTCAGGAGTTCTGGCCAAATATAGACCTATATCTAATCTCCCATTCATCTAAAACATTCTTGAAAAAATAGTTGCAAATCAACTACGTGAACAATTGGATAGAAATAATCTATATGAGGAGTTTCAGGGTTTAGAGCTCATCATAGCACAGAAACAGCACTGGTGAAAGTTACTAATAATATTCTCATTGTCTCAGACAGTGGACTTGTGTCCATTCTTGTCCTGTTAGATCTCAGTGCTGCATTTGATACAACTGATCACAATATTTTATTACGTAGACTTGAACTTGATATTGGGATTACAGGAACATCTCTAAAATGGTTTGAGTCTTATTTAACTGATAGATTTCAGTTTGTTAATGTTAATAATGAATCTTCTTCTTACACCAGAATTAGTCATGGAGTTCCTCAGGGTTCAGCGCTTGGACCAATCCTCTTTACTTTATAAATACTTCCTTTAGGTAAAGTTATTAAACAGCACAGGATAATTTACACTGTTATGCTGATGATACTCAATTATATTTATCTATCAAACCTGATGAATCCAACCAGTTACTTAAACTACAAGCATATCTTAACATAAAAACATGGATGACTCTTAATTTTCTGCTTCTAAACTCAGACAAGACAGAGGTCATAGTTTTTGAACATCTTAGGGATCTGCTTTACAACCTTTCACCTTCTCTGGATGGCATTAATCTGGCCTCTGGTTCTAAAATAAAGAACCTTGGTGTTATTTTTGATCAGATGTCTTTTAACCCCCACATTAAAAATATTACCAGGACTGCCTTCTTCCACCTGCGTAATATCACTAAAATTAGAAACATCTTGTCCAAAAATGATGCAGAAAAACTGATTCATGCATTTATCATGTCTAGGCTAGATTACTGTAATTCTTTATTATCTGGGCAGCCAAAAAACTCTTTAAGAAGTCTTCAGTTAATCCAAAATGCTGCTGCTAGATTTTTAATGACAGTTGGAAGGAGAGTTTATATTTCTCCAGTTTTAGCTTCTCTCCACTGGCTCCCTGTCAAATTCAGAATAGAATTGAATATCTTATTTCCAACAAGCATTTACTGCCAAACTATATTGTCAAAGATTAAAAACACCATTCATCAGCATCCATCATTATATTTGAGTGATAGAGGGTGAATGAAGACAATGATTTAAATCATCTCAGATGTTCTAACTCACCTTTGGCACCTCAATCTCCCAGATGACGAGTTCAGAGTTGGATGAGGTAGCGCAGTTAGCCTGGTGCTCACTGGCACTCATTGTGCACCCACTGTCCACTGAGTCCATACTGTTAACATCAGAACCTGGACATGGAAAGAACCAGCACCAGATGTCAGGTTGCTTATTCCTGAACAACTACTGCGACAGAAAATCATCTTACTTCTTTTACAAAAAAACAAAGTAATTTCACTCAATCCAAATGACAAAGTCTTCATTTTTAAAGTATTTATAAATAGAATGGTTCACACACTCATCGCCTCAGTTTAGGTTTAAAGACACCATGCTGACTCCAGATTATCAATGAGAAAAAAGAAGGCCTGAACTAAATGATGCACAGAATACAGGTGGGAATCTTTAGGCACCTTATGATCAGATTACCATCCAGAGGGCTGTAATGCAAATATTAAACTATGCATTTAGATTATCTTGAAACTTGAATATCTGAGGCTCATTTCAAACGTCCATCCATCATATAGCACCTTTCTATCCAACCAGGATATTCAAAGTGCTTTACTCCACAACAGGGATCATGGGCAAATCCTGGTCCTTAAGGGCTGCTGTCCTGCATGTTTGACTTGTTTCCCTGCTCCAGTATACCTGCTCCAGTGATTAGACTCCCTTTTAAGTTCTGCAGAAGCTTGGTAATCATACATTTATTCAAATCAGACGCATAGAGCAGAGAAACCTCTAAAACATGCAGGATAGTGGCTCTCGAGGACCAGGAATGCCCATCCCTGCTCTACAATCTGTGCCCTCATTTACTCATTCACACAGGACTAGATCTCACTACAAATACAGTACAGGTAAATCAATCTTTAAATCAAATTCATACACTGATGGGACACACATCAGAGGCAGTGGGGGTTCAGTGTCTTGCTCACAGATACTTCAACACGGGACTATAGCAGGGAATAGAACGGTCAACTCTCTGATTAGAGGACGACTCCCTTAACCATAGAAAAAAACAGTTTTATTTTTTCCAAATTCCGTTTTTATTTTCTAAATCCCACTTTTTCCATTTTTTTTTACCCGAATTGCACATTTTCATTGTAACCAATTTTATTAACCTAAAAGCTGTGTAATTATAAAGTGACTGAACAATAAAGAAATAAACAGCCACAGAAATAAAAAACAATGTCTGTTATTTCACTTTCACTAATATAACAAATAGCTATGGTTCAGTAGAACATTCAGTTTTTTTAAAAGGTGTTTAAAAGAATTTACTAAGAAAAAACATTATGTGTAAAACAGAATCTTATCAGAATCTATGTTTTGTAAAATAAAAATGTTTCAGAATTTAACTTAACATTAAATATGTCATAAAGAAACATAAAACCTACAAAAACAGCAACAATTTGTGCACACTTGCCAACTGAATAGGATCTAAGCTTATTTACTTCTGTAATGGACACACTCACACACTGTTTACAGAGCTTTATTTAAAAAAAAAAACGGACAAAAAAATGGTTTCATTTCTTCTAAAGGAATATCTGATTCTGCACACATGACAAAAAATTGTTGGATAAACTTCCAACCGGACTCCCATCTCGCTTCTTTGTGTTGAGGAGCTTCTTAAAAGGTAAAAGTGTTTAATTTGTCATCAATGCATGTTCCCATGCAGGGATGAAATCTGTGCTCTGTATTTGACCTCCTTTTTTCCCTGTGTCGGGAGGGGAGCTCAGAGCTCACCCTGCATGCCTGTTAGCAGGTAACGACAGGTACAGGGAGCAGCAGCGGCCAAAACACCTCAGAAACTCGCCCAAATAAACAAACTGTGAGATTCTGTGTTTTACACTGGATTCCATTTTGTTTGGTGAATTCTGCGATTCCGGCCCTACCTTTACCACTCTGCCACAGCCGGCCATCGCTTGATAACCCTTTTTACAGCAGGGGATAGGGCTGGGCGATTATTTGATCTTGATTATTGATGGAGAAAAAATTTCAGGTCGATCACCGTGATCAGCTGTGAGCCTCTTCCTCGATCAAACATGGAGGAAATGTGCGCAACAACAGCCAATCAGAATCCACCTCCTCCTGCTCCACTTCTGTTTATAAGTTACTAAGTAAACGCAGACGGAATCAAAGAATTAACCAAAGTAATCCAGTATAAAACACTGAATCTCAGAGTTCGCATATTTGGGTGAGTTTCTGAGGTATTTTGGCTGCTGTTGCTTCCTGTACCTGTGTTACCTGCTAACAGGCACGCAGGGTGAGCTCTGAGCTCCTCTCCCGACATAAGAGGGAGAGAGAGGAAAAAAAGAAAAGTGAGCTGCGATGCGTGCTTCGTTAAAACAAAAGTGTCCTTCAAAAATACGAAGCAGTCTTAGGGTAACGTTTAGGACAGAACAATGTCCCAGCAGTTCTTCATTTATCTGGAGAAGAACTTTTCTGTAAGTTTTATCGGCACACGATGGGCTGGACGAGACGTGGAGACCACTTCCTGTCTGAGTCTCATCACAAACAACAGCTGAGATACGCTGCAAACTCCTGAACACTCAGAAGCTGGGAGTTAATCCAACATGTTGTCTGCAGAATCAGATATTCTTTCAGAAAAAATGAAACAGCGTTGTTTATTGTTTGATAAAGCTCTGTAAACAGGGCTGGGGTTCCTTCCATAACGAAATTAATGAGCTTAGATCATATTCAATAGGCAAGTGTGCACAAATTGTTGTTTTTTTGTAGGGTTTATGTTTCTTTATGGCATATTTAATGTGAAATTCAATTCTAAAACTTTAATTTTGCAAAAGGATAACTTTATTAATGTGAGAATCTATGATTTAAACATAAATGTTTTTTTTCTTAGTAAATCATTTTAAACACCTTGCAAAAATAATTTCATGTTCTACTGAACCACAGCTATTTGTTACATTAGTGAAAGTGAAATAACAGACATTATTTTTTTTCTGTAGCTATTTATTTGTTAAATTACAAAGTATTTTTCAGTCACTTTTTAGATTAACAAAATAATTGTGATATTAATCGAGATCGGACGATATGAAAAAATTAATCGTGATCTTTTTTTTTGCCATATCGCCCAGCCCTAGTAGGGTAAATGCTGGACTGTAAAATTTAAATCTAAAAGTGCTGTAATACAGCCTGACTGTGTGAAGTCTACATTATTTCTGTCAAGCAGAAAGGACTTACTGCTCAGCACAGATGTGTGTGATTTATTTGTTCATGTTAGCAACAATTTTGGTGAAAGCGTTACTAATGCCAGTGGTTGGTGAATGGGGGGGGGGGGGTTGGGAGGTCTGTTCACAGGACATGTTTTTTTTCCCTTGGATTATGGTAGGGAAAACCCTGAACACATTCTACAGATAAATAAATGTCTCACCTCCGGACTGGTCTGTGTCCACCTCACATGTCTGGTGAGCTCCATCCCTGGAGCCAATCCCATTTGGTCTCCTTAGAACACACACAGAGTCCTCCTCAGCTGCTTTAGTCATGGTCTCCACCAGTGACTCCAGCTGCACTGCTTCTCTTGGAGACAAGTCTGAGACCTGGGCCAGATCAGCCTGGCTTTCAGACACGATGCTCTGCAGGCCCTCACTGCTGACACCGTCCTCAGAGGGGCAGGTGCTGCAGACTGAGTCTTCGTTGCGTCTTCGCTTTGTGGTCAGCACTGTTGTCACTTGTGTTGGCCTGGAGCTGCTCTGTGCACCATTAGTTTCCTGAACTCTGTCGGTGAGCTCGGCTGCAGCTATAGAGCTACTCTTGGACACTCCTGGTCTCTCTGCCACCTCTCCACAGTCTCTCAGGTGCCAGCTGTGCTGCTGTATTGGCTCCTCGTGTGAGCATGGCTTTTCACTGGCCAGTAGTACACAGCTACTGGTGCTGACTTGGTTTTTCTGTGTGACCTTGCAACTGGTGACACCAAGGACTTCTTGGGTGGCTGCCGAGATGACCTCGGTTATAAGTCCAGCTGCCAGAAGCTCCAGATTATGCTCTTCTGGGGTGCTCCTCTCTATTTGGATATCCTCCGAGGTCTGCCATGGGGTGCTGGAGTCCTGGACAGGGAAAGTGAGAGCTGTAGGGGTACTGGTGAGTATGCGTTTGTGTAAATCCGCTGACAAAGGAGACTCCAGAGAGTCTGCCTCTGACTGAACAACCCTACACTCTTTGGTTGTGGTGACAGCCATCTCTTCTTGTGTTTGAGCAGTATTTTGATGTGTTGCTACTTCTCCCTCTGGTTCTGGTCTCTCTGCATCAGAAAGGTGTGCTGCTGTAGATGAGGAGATAATAGCTTTGGTAGAATGGCTGGACTGTTTGACCTCTAGAGCTTCAGAAGCATTTGCTGAATCTTTGTCAAGGTGTTCCTCCAGCTGTCTGATCGGGACAAGGGATGAGCCTTTATCTGGGTCTTTAGGGTTTTCCCGTAAATCTTCTGACATATCCTCTTTGTTAGATGATAGTAAAGCAAAGTTTGAGGATTTATTGACTTCCTCTCCTTGGTTTCTGACACTAAAATTAGAAGCATCTTCACAGAGTTTTGCTGATGAAGGTGATGCTTCAGTGTCCTGGATGTGGATCTGAGAAATAAGTTCCTGTTCAGTTCCTTTGTTGCTGAGTTTCTGGGGTCTGCGGTTTGGCATGTCCTCTTCAAGTGGGGACAAGCCATTGTCTTTCTCAACCAATCCATTTCTGTCCTCGGTTTGAATAGTTTTATTGCTCTCAGCAGATGGAGGCCCCTCAGAGACCACCTGGCTGATGAACCGTTCTTTCTTCCGGGAGGTGTACCACCACCAGCCGATCAGTGCAAGGACTCCAGGCAAAGTGTAGGGAACAACAGAGCGAAATCTCAGATGCATTTCCTCCAGGCACCAGCAATCACAACCTGAAATTTAAGCAGGCACAAACATGGACTTGTATTAGTCAAGGAACACGACACAGAAAAATCAGAAGGAAAATACAAATGTCTCGATTTTGAATGCTCATGACTTCTGGGTGATTTTTTTTTGTACAGGATGCTGATGAGATTAACAACTAACAGGCTGTTTACTTCAGGCTGAAGTGTTCCACATCATAGCATTTATCAGGAGTAGACATAACCATAGTTTAGGTTGTCTGAGACAACCTATTTTCATTTCGGACAACCAGATCCTGACTCCTGGTCCAAGAAAAAAGACCTTCATTAAAGTTCTCTGCCGCGGGTGTCCGTCACTGGTAAAAATGAAATGGAGAAAAAAACTTGGTAAAGCCGAACAGAACACTAAACTGTAACTTTTAATAAGGTCATGTACACAGTATACTCCTTTTTAAGTGAAAATGTTTGACCTATGAGCAAAAAAAAGTTTATGAATGTTGGGTAACCTCTAGATTTTATTAGCAACATTTTTGCTGCTTTACTCCCTGAGCCTTAAATGCTCTGTTTCAAAGAAGAGAATGAGGAAGTTTTATTCACACAGATACCTGACTGACTGAGAATAATTATATATTATAAACTTTGTCTACAGAACAATATACTATACTGTACTTGTTAAATTACATTTTTTCTTGAGATTCTTTTGGACAACCAAAATGTTCTTGCAAGACCACCAGGTTTTGTCAACAGGTTGTCCCCTGGACAACCTGAAAAATAACCTTATGTCTACCCCTGTTTATACTACAGTGTTTCCCTTACCATTATACA